GTAGTAGTAGTAGTAGTAGTAGTAGTAGTAGTAGTAGTAGTAGTAGTAGTAGTAGTAGTAGTAGTAGTAGTAGTAGTAGTAGTAGTAGTAGTAGTAGTAGTAGTAGTAGTAGTAGTAGTAGTAGTAGTAGTAGTAGTAGTAGTAGTAGTAGTAGTAGTAGTAGTAGTAGTAGTAGTAGTAGTAGTAGTAGTAGTAGTAGTAGTAGTAGTAGTAGTAGTAGTAGTAGTAGTAGTAGTAGTAGTAGTAGTAGTAGTAGTAGTAGTAGTAGTAGTAGTAGTAGTAGTAGTAGTAGTAGTAGTAGTAGTAGTAGTAGTAGTAGTAGTAGTAGTAGTAGTAGTAGTAGTAGTAGTAGTAGTAGTAGTAGTAGTAGTAGTAGTAGTAGTAGTAGTAGTAGTAGTAGTAGTAGTAGTAGTAGTAGTAGTAGTAGTAGTAGTAGTAGTAGTAGTAGTAGTAGTAGTAGTAGTAGTAGTAGTAGTAGTAGTAGTAGTAGTAGTAGTAGTAGTAGTAGTAGTAGTAGTAGTAGTAGTAGTAGTAGTAGTAGTAGTAGTAGTAGTAGTAGTAGTAGTAGTAGTAGTAGTAGTAGTAGTAGTAGTAGTAGTAGTAGTAGTAGTAGTAGTAGTAGTAGTAGTAGTAGTAGTAGTAGTAGTAGTAGTAGTAGTAGTAGTAGTAGTAGTAGTAGTAGTAGTAGTAGTAGTAGTAGTAGTAGTAGTAGTAGTAGTAGTAGTAGTAGTAGTAGTAGTAGTATATATATATATATGATATATATATATGTGTGTGTGTGTTTGTTTGTGGCATTCATTCTTCAACCTTTTACCACGTCAGTTGCTCCTGGCCTCCAGAGGAGGAACGATCGCCACTCAGCCACCGAGCGAGAGTACGAAGCCGTAGCTACTAGTATATGTGCCATTACCAGAGTACAATGGAGTTTGGAAGTTCCTTGTGGTCTCCGGCGTCATTCTCTGGACGCAGAAAAAAAAGTTTATATAGAAAGCAGCGGGTCTTGATGTTCTCGGGGGGCAATTAATTATGATGATGAAAACACTAAAATTGTAATGGCATTATTGATTTATCAATATGTCAGTGATGATGATGATGATGATGATGATGATGATGATAATGATAATGATGACAATAATAATAATAATAATAATAATAACTAGAAAAGCACTCAGAGAGTGCAGACCTCAGCCAAGGTGCGCATATAATGTACTTACACCGCTGCTGCGTCCAGACGGTAATTCAGAATGTCATTGAAATGTGGTACACGTTTAGGTGTGATATGCCGTTTTATTTTGCTTGTGTGCAAAGAATGGGCGGGGTGACCAGCCACTGTCGGCGAGGGATTTGAACGCAGGACAACAATGTTGCTAGACGAGATCGCTACCGCTGCACCATAATAATAATAGCAAGTCGGTTTTATGTCACGAACTCTCTCGCAAGGGCTAAGACGGTACCTTCTTTCGAAGTACTTTAGTTCAGGCGGCCGAGTGGATGCCCTCTCTTTTCATCTCAGGCTAATGGCGCGTTATCTCTGCACCATGGCGGCTGTCAATGGTAATGATATTAGTAGTAGAAGTAACTGTAGTAATAGTAGTAGTAGTAGTAGTAGTAATGATCATAATAACAATAATAATAATAATAATAATGATAATAGTAATAATAATAATAATAATAAAAATAACAATAATAATAATAATAATAACAATAACAATAAAAGTAATTATAACAATAATAAGATTAATGATATCATTATCATTAATACTAGTAGTAAGTCTTCGTGGCTGAAGATCCGCTGCCTGGGTCGCAGGTGGCTGACGAGCCCACGCGGACCGGTGTGGGCGAATCCTCCAAAGAAATGCCAGAGAAGACCTGCACACACACATGCACAAACACACTTACATACACATACTTACAGACACATACAAGCACATACATACACGCTCATACAAACACATACAGACGCACACACATACAAGCACATACATATATACATACACACACACACACAAGCACATACATACACGCCCATACAAGCACATAGACACACACATACAAGCACACGCGGGCTATGAACACCTATATACACACAGCTTGCAACAATTCCCTGGAAACTCGAGCCAAACTTCGGGGTCAAAGGTATAAATCAAATCGAGGTCGTGGCAGCTTCACCCTTTTCTCGCAGATTTAGTTTCGCTGCACAAACAAAACAAAACAAAAGATTCCCACGTTACTTTAAAAATAAAATAGAATAAAAATGCAACACGGAAGGGACTCAAATTCATCACGGTCAACGGAACTCCCATCAATCTCCACCAGCGGATCTGTGCAACAATGAGCATGAAATGGGAAAAGCGACGCTATAGTCCGCCAAGGGCCGGCGTCCGTGTTTGATAAATCGTGTTTTTTTCCTCTGTGCGCGACCGAGGGAGGCGCTCCTTTGGGTGCTACGCCCTTCCGCCGTCACTGGTTTCCCGAGATGCAGGTGTGCGTGCCCTCTACG